GTGAAAGGTAGAAACTCGCCGGGAAATCATTGAACAGTGTGGCAACACTCTGCAGTGCATGGCTTGTGTTTTGGTTTGATTTCGTGGTTTACGTTCCTAGGTTTTAGGAAGAGACAGAAGATCGGGGAACAGTGGTGGAGTTGGAACTCGCCGGCTGGGTTGGCTGTTTGGTTCGCCGGAGAGTGTGTTATGTGGTCTTCGGCGTTGTTGTACAGAGAGGGCAGAGGGTTTTAAAATAAAAATGAAGGGTGAGGTTAGGGAGAGTGACAAGAGAGAGAGGGAGAGACGCGGTGGTTAGCGTGGCGCGTGGTGGCCGTCGCCACTCCAGGTGATGGTGATTAGTTGCAGAGGAAGAGAGATGCGGATAAGAGAGTTTGAGAGAGATAGTGGGAGATAAGGGGAGGTGGCAAAAGGGAATTGGGTGAGTAAAGAGAGGGAGATCCATATTTCTGGGGAAATGGGATACGGGATAGGGCAGGAGTGGGGAGTCGCACGTGGGTGGGTCCCACCAGACAGAAAGCTCAAAGAAAATGTTGAAATAATAGAGCCATTTACCTTAGAATAGCAAAATTACTAAAATGCCCTTCAACTTTGTACTTATGTAAAATCTCCATCGTAACTTCAAAATTCTATTCCGCCTATGCCTACGCATTCATATTGTCGGGTACTACAAGAATACGTTAAAAGAATGTTTCATATGTCTCCCAATATGCTGGTCAACGAAAGTCAACACCTTGGCCTCCAGGGGCATTTTCGTCAATTCACTCATTTAAAATTAATAAAATCATAAAATTAGGGACATGTTGTCGCAAACAGACTTATCCTTTCAGATGAAGTCTGAAGTGTGGTGAAATATGCATCAAATGGATGCAAAAACAACATTTTTAAATGGAGAACTTGAAGAAATATACATGAAACAACCTGAAGGGTTCGTGCTTAAAGGACAAGAAAGCAAAGTGTGCAAATTAGTTAAGTCATTATATGGACTTAAACAACACCAAAACAGTGGCACGAGAAATTTGATCATACTTTATTGACACATGGGTTCAAAATAAATGAATCTGATAAATGTGTCTACATTAAGAGTAACGATAAAACTTGTGTTATTGTCTGCTTGTATGTGGATGATATGCTCATAATGGGAAGTGATAAAGATGTAATAAACAAAACAAAGAAAATGTTGAATTCAAGTTTTGACATGAAAGACTTAGGTCAAGCCGATTCATTTTAGGAATTCAAATTAAGAGAAATAGTGAAGGATATGTCCTTACACAATCCCATTATGCAGAAAAAAATATTACGAAGGTTTGGTCAATTTGATTGCAAATTTACTATAACTCCTTTTGATGATAGATGCAAGTTGGAGAAAAATAAAGGCAATGCCATATCTCAACTTGAATATTCTCAAGTAATTGGAAGTCTAATGTACTTGATGAATTCGACTAGGCCTAACTTTGTTTATGCAGTAAGTAGGCTTAGTAGATATACAAGTAATCTGGCACAAGAGCATTAGGATGCTTTAGTAAGAGTGTTAAGGTATTTGAAAAATACACTTGACTACGGATTACACTACACAATGTATCCACCTATTGTAGAAGGCTATAATGATGCTAATTGGATTTCTAACACTACAGAATCTGTGACATCCCACATCTCCTAGGGGAGTGATCCTTATATGTATATTCTCATCTCTACCTAGCACGAGGCCTTTTGGGAGCTCACTGGCTTCGGGTTCCATGGGAACTCCGAAGTTAAGCGAGAAAAAGGCTAGAGCAATCCCATGATGGGTGACCCACTGGGAAGTTGCTCGTGAGTTCCCAAAAACAAAACCGTGAGGGAATGGTAAGCCCAAAGCGGACAATATCGTGCTACGGTGGTGGAGCGAGCCTGGGAAGTGGTCCTTCTCAGGCCGGGATGTGACAGAATCCAAGTCGACAAGTGGATATATTTTTACTTTGGAAGGTTAAGCAATATCTTGGAAATCCTCTAAACAGAAATGTATAACTCATTCCACCATGGAGTCAGAGGTTATAGTTTTAGACTTGGCTGGAGAAGAAGCCGAGTGGCTCAAACATTTTCTAGAAGACATTCCAGTATGGCCAAAGCCTGTAATTGCTATATGTATACATTGTGATTGTATAGCTGCACAATCAAGGGCCAAAAGTCATGTATACGATGAAAAGTCACGACATATCAGGCGTCGACATAATACTCAAGAAGTTGCTCTCCAATGGAATAATATCCATTGATTATGTTAAGTCAAAGGAAAATATAGCTGATCTTTTGACAAAAGGCCTACCAAGAGAGCAAATATTATTTACATCGAGGGGAATGAGTCTCAAGCCAATTCAATGAATTGGACTGGGTGAAAACCTAACCTAGCTGATTGGAGATCCCATGGTCTAGGTTCAACAGGCTAATTGGTTGAGTTTGATTCAAAAGTTGAACACACAACTTACCCATTCTTATGATAAAATGTGTGTTGTCAGTTGAAGTTTGAGGGGTTATGTTTTATGTACATTTAATGACATTAATATCTTGTTATCAAGAGGAATATGACAGACTATTCTTAATTAATGTCACATATATAGGAGTAAATGGGGCTGCATTTATGAGAATTGACATGGCTAAATTCTCTAAAGCTTCTACGAAATCCGGGATCTGTTCATGGCCAAAATGAACACAACCGTATGAATTGACGTGTGGCAAACATGATATGTGTGTAGCATATTGTCTTGGTTTACTACTGCGGTGAACAGTTCAAGATCTTCCACATCCACTGCGTCACCAAGTAAACCCGATATGTTTTCACTAAGGTAAGTTCAAGTCCAAAAGATACTTCACCCGATGCATATCACGTCTATTCTCTCTTAGTTTAATGCTAGTCATTCATTTGCATTCAAATGTGGGGTGTTATAAATGAATTAGTCATGTTTGAATGAAATTTCAACTCAAATGTGGGGTATTGTTGGAAATTTTGAGTAGAATTTCATTGTCCCACATTGGTTACTACCAAAAAGTTTCCTCACTTTACAAGGCTTTGTCCCTTATAGAAAGTGAATGGAATGATGGACCATGGAAAATAAAATTGGGCTCAACCTTGGGTTTGGGCTTTGGGGTGTACTAATTAATTGATAATTAATATATAATTAATTATCAAAAGATGAGCCTTGGGGCTCAGGCTTTAATAATTAAATTCTTTAATTAATTATTTTTAAGATTTAATTATTTATTTATTTTTTACCAACAGACTCATCCTTTCAGATGAAGTTTGAAGTGTGGTGAAAGAACACAGAGAGCAAACACCCCTCTGAGAAGATGTCTCCCAATAGATGCATCCCTTCTTCATACCTATTGCGAACATGCATAATTCTATTATATATATACATCCATCTGCATGGCATTTAGAACACAGAAAAACATAATTCTCCTTTTACAATCCAAAGCATTCTTACTGAGAGAACCACAAAGAAATTCACTAGAAGTCAAGTTTTCCGATGCTGGAATTCTGACTTGATCGTTGAATCTTGGTGAAACAGACATCCGTAGAGCTACAAGCACTGAGTAAGGGTGAAATATCTATTTCAAGGACATTGCGGTACGCAAGCCTAGATCATCAGTTTATATGTTTAATATTATTTCATTGTTCATACTCCGTTAGGTTAGTTGTTTGCATTTATTATTTATTAACATATATAAATTTATCATTGAATGTTGATATTTATCCAACACATACTAGTATGCATGTATATTAACTTTACTCTAACCTGGAATGGAAGACATGATGGTAGAGTTTGAGAAGGATGTCTTCTCCACTCATTGCCAAGAATGTTCACGCAATGAAATAGGGTTTATTGCTTCAGGATGGAACCGGTGCAGTGAGTGCAGAAACAACTAATACGCCTATTATAGAGTAGTTAGGATTTACCATAACTCTTTAATATCAATTAGGTTTCTTATCATGGTTGTCAACACAAGTCCTCCCAAATACGGTGTATTAAGACTCCAAACTTTAGCCATATATCAAGATTTCCTTAGAATTAGGTCGATGGTCAACTTGTATAACAAGTTGCTTATCGTCCAAGTAACTGAATGATACTCACATGAGTCTTACAATTTCTTGAAGTGCTTAGATGGGGATGATTGTTGAATGTTTCGTCATTGTTGGGTGAGGGATGTTCAGTTGGATTTCGGACTTATTGTGAGACGAAGGATAATTTTTAGAGGACAAATGAGTCAAGGTAGAGTGTAGACAATTTTTAGTTCGGTGGGGTGGGACAATTTTCGCTAACTGATGAAGCCCACCTAGCCCCAGGTTGACTCTGCCCTTGATTAAAATTCTTCAATTTTGTTAAGGGAGAAGAGATAACAGTTGGGTATGAATTGAAGTTGAAGAAATTAAGGCTCCTTTACATGCAATAGAAATTAATCCGAACGTTTTTTGCAAAAATTTAAACAAATTCAAGATTACCAATCCATTCATTTGTAGTGAAGAAAATAGACAGATATGGTTCAACAAAAAAAACAAAAAAAACAAAAAAACAAAAACACTAAAATGACTATCATTTAATGCAACGGTCATATGATTTCGGATTTGAATGGCTTTCGGTAAGATAATCTTCGAGAAAAAACCTAAAAGATAAATAGTTAAATTGTTAAAATACATAAAGTGGGCATGTATCTCAAAATGTGTGTCCAAAAAATGCGTGTACCCACTATATATAAAGGAGAATAGCACTAATAAAAGATGCTTTGCTCTGATACCCGGGTAATCAACCTCGGGAAAAAAGCAGATGCATGGTATAAGTAGAAGTCAAGGAAACCTGATTCATACGTCTAGATGTACAGAAAAAAAACATGAAATATGATCTAGTAGATCACATGCATATACAGTTTAAGAATATGCCTTTCTTAGTTTGCCAAGCAAAGAATTTGAAGCGTTGGAGTGGTGTCTATAAATTGTGTAAATACCTTGAGAGTGATATTAAAACATTTACTGGCCAATTAATGATGATTTGATTTGTTTTAGCACACTAGAAGGACAACACATGGCAACACAGAATTGCAGACCTTCGTTGTTAATATGCTGTGTGCTTCTGATTGCTTTATTGGCCGGAGGTGAAAGTCTCGCACCAAGAATAAACAAGGTGATGAAGATGCAACATGCATATAGACACACTAGGTGATTGAAAATTATTCTAGAATTTGCTTGTTATTGTGCATGTGCCTCTAATTTGGTGGTGGATGAATAATGCGATGCATGTTAGTATAGAAACCTTATTTTTGTGATTGGCCTTCTATTTTGCACTGAATGCACTTGTTTTTCTAGTGTTAACTTAGAAAACTTGCTTGGTAATCAATTAGCATTCTAATTACTATTTTGCATACAAAAAGTACATCAGAAGTTAGTAAAAATGATCGCTTTTTGAAATCTTAATTGTTGATCTATGATCAACTTTTTTTGTATGTCGTCAATATTTGATCATTATGTTGATATTTCCTCAGTAATTGATTTGATTCGTGATTATCATTTTAGCTAATTTATCAAAAGTATTTGTACCACATTTAACTGATAACACCTAGCTAGATGAAATAAATAATCTCACTTTTGACATTATGTAGGAAAACTGTACGTACGCAGTTACAATTGAAACAACATGCACAAAGGGTGCCGAAACCTCAAACCACATAAGGCTGAGATTTGGTGACACAAACTCTAATGACATTGTGGTTCACCACCTAAACTCCAAGCACATAAGAAGGGTGGATCCGATAGCGCCTGACGTCCTTGACGATGTTCCCAGAAAACCATTTCAAGCTTGCGTGGTGGATGAGTTCCAAATGAAGGGCCAATGTGTCGACTCCCCGGTCTGCTACCTCTACCTCAAACTGTCTGGAACTGATGATTGGAGACCTGGTTTTGCACAAGTCCATGTTTTGGAGGGGTCTCACTCCCATCTCAGCTCGAATTACTTCTACTTCCGCAGGTACTTGCCGCGCCATGTGTGGCATGGTTTGGATGTGTGTGATAAAGAGGTCACTCCATTTGGGATCAAACACAAGAGGAAAGTGTTTGCTAAATAGCCAGTCATGAAAAAATTGGCTTGAACGCCATGATATAATTCATCCTTAGTTACTTGTATCAAACTTTTTCTCTCAACTTTTTTGTTGTTATACCATATCATAAATACTGAGTATTCAGAGAATAACGAAGTTGTGGAATTAACCCATATTTGTGAGATAAAAGAAGAAGGGTACAGTAGCATTGACATTAGGGTCAACTGTCACTAATATAAATAATTTTAATTGCAATAGGGGGTCTTTTAGTTTTAATTATGTGCAGTTTCAGAAAAAATAATTATTATTATGTGTCCGTTCTAGTACAAATACTAAATTTATTTGTATATTTTGGTTCTGGAAATTGATACTAGCAACGCTCTTTTTTTTTTCTTTTCAATTCGTGTGAAACATTAATTTAAAAGAGAACAATTTGGGGTTTTTGTTCTGATCGTTCTGCTACCTAAAGGCTGCAAATCATGTGTTGAAATTCAATTAAAATCCTTAAAATGTATAATACCTTGGAGTATACCAAAAATCCCTTCAACATGTGTAGAACAAAAGCAACATTCACACATCAATTGGGATCTAGGCTTTTGAGATTTAGCAACTAATTCTAAGTCAAGTACCTGTGAATTATTTTGAAGCATCTCTAATAATATTTAGTCCTCGGTAAATGCTGGACCAAGATTACACGCATGCATATATGCTAATCAAGATAAAAGCACCTGTGAGGCTTCTTTTTGCCTGATCAAGCTGTGAAAAATCCCTTAGTACATGTGAATCATACATATTCATTCATCTACTAAAAATTCTGTTAATACTTCTAGTAATGACAAGGGATTTGCATATCTGCAAAGTCAGATAATGATCAGTTTAATCCCAGTACACCAAATGCAAGTGAATCGAATTTCTTTTGTTTTTAATTTCTTTTTTTGAAAGCCACAAAGTAGAAATGAATAGAACCACCCAAGCTTACAACATATTTCAGAATTCAAGAAGTCCAGAGCTGTATGCAACTTTTGATCAAGACAAAGAAGCTATACAGTGATCTTGAATACCAATACCACTTACTTAATTGTTATGTATGTACTAGCTAAAAGGTGAAAAGGATGGATAAATTCTTATTTTAGCAAAATTTTCTTTTGGTGGTATGGAAAATATAGTAAAATATAGTAAAAACTTCTTTATTAACTGCGTGTTTCCATCTTATTGAATTTATATATTTGTACGTATTTAATTACCAAAAAGATATAATGCATATTTTACTTACATATGTGATGACCCTCAACGAAATAAGAGATTCTACTTTGCAATCAGTTGTATATAACTTTCTCTTTATTTCTTTCAGTTCATGACTAGTTATAATATGAGAAATACACACACACACACACACACACACACACACACACACACACATATATATATATATATATATATCTACTAATTAATAAAACACTTATTGTCAACCAAAATCCTATAAAATTACCAGTTTAACCCTCTAATTAAAACATAATATGAATAAGAAATATGGGGCATAAATGTAATTTCACACAACCAAATTTTGCTATTTTTTTTCCAAGACCTCACCTACATGTAATCTTAACATATCTCTAATTAAAAAAATTAAAAAAAAAATTTCCCACTCCCACATTTTCTGTTACTCTATTCCTATCTCCGTCTATTTCAAAAAAAAAAAAAAAAAAAAAAAAAAAATCTCTCACACACTTTGTGTGTGCCCATATGCTTGTGCGTGTGTGTATATATACCAAAATCTCTGTGGGTTTAGCTCCCTCCTATTTATTAGTCCAAATTAATTACAAGCCATTTTAATATTGTCTTTTATTATTTTTGGAAACTTTGTATATTATGAATTTGTTAATTTTCGGAACGTGTTCATTTGGTACGCAATTGGACCACTTAACCCCCTGAAATGTTAAGTTCCCAGTTATTTCTACGCAATTGGACCACCTAACCCCCTGAAATGTGGAAAAACTGAGATCAACTACCGTGCATAGAAAAGAAGGAAGAGAAAAAATGCGGAGGCCTCTGTGTTTTCTTTCCTTTTTCTAGCTCGGAAAAAAATGGGTAACATTGTCGACTTATATGTCTTTCCATGCCATGCATTTTGTGAAAACCCTAGTTATACCCTTATCATTCAATAGTTATAGCCCAAAATTCTATTGATTTGATTTGATTTATTTAAATTTTTTTTGTCGAAATGATGAGGGATGAGGAGACAAGACGTGACTAATTGCTGCAAACGATACATGGAGGAGGAAGGCGGTGTCTGAAGTCACTTTTCATCGATGTGAGCCATGCATGAGCATAACTTATGATAGGAATTTTACCGCACATGCTTAAGGGTTAAAAACTCTTATAGAATTTGTAAAAATGACAAAGTTATTATAGTATAAACGGATCTTATAAGATCGTTCTCCACACGAATTATTAAATAATTTGAAGTAAACTGAATTTCAATTAATTATTGTAAAGTAGAAATTGAGATGATTGATTTTATGACTTACTTAAATTAAAACGAAATTGATTAATAAAAGTAAATTAATCTGCAATCGAAATTGATTAATAAAAGTAAATTAATTTGCAATATTAAAGATGAAGAAAAAGGAAACAATTTTGAAGAAATCAAATTAAGAAAACACTAGGGATCCGCCGTCACCTTAACAATTCTATATAGTTCTCTCAATTACTTATGACATTTACATGCATATTTCGAATGTTGGGTTTTCCTAATATATGCCTACTTGGACCCCCAACATAGAGTGTATATCAAACATGCAATCCGTCTGTGGTATTCATATCAAATCTAAACATGCATGACTCATTAAGTTCTGTAAAACCTTTTGAAAAACCATGCAACCCTAAAGACGTAGTATTCATCCTAAGTAAACTTGCACATATTAATCACAAGAAGCCTTAGTCGCTGACCTCCAACGAAAATTGCATCAAATTACTTTTCTAAACATCCTAATGGTGATCAAGGGAATTGGATCCTCTACGAGGCAATGCCTCGGGATCCTCCTGACAGGACGACACGGACCGTTGAATTTTGATCCAATAGCTACAAACGGGGGGTCCCTCTAAAAGTTATAATAATTGTAGCTGTTGGATCAAAATCCAACGGCACGCGTTGTCCGATCAGGAGGATCTCGAGGCTTGCCTCGGAAAGGATCCAATTCCGTGATCAAGCATTAAGAGTCCAAGACAATTAGATAGTTTAAATCAAGGATCGGTAATTCGAAAACCTACATGTATATAATCATAAGCAAATTGAAGGAGAAACTACATATTCTTGCTAAGGCTCGTGGCCTCACCCTAACAAAAAGAAAATTAGTTATGCATATTCATAATAGAAATCACAAAGTTCTTTATTGAATAATAAAAGATCAAAAACACTCTGAATGAAAAAGTCTAAAATTTTCTACGCTTGGCCAATTTCCTCTCTTCAAGAACGCACGGAGAAGAAGTTAACCTATGAATAGGACCGACCAAGCTTATTTAACCTAATAGAAATTAAATCCTCCTAATAAAAGGTCTTCCAATCCAAATAGGAAACTAAATACTATAATAAAATAGGAAACATAAAACTAAATTGAATGAAAATTTCGCCTAAAATCTGAACAGTCACGTTTTGGACCCTTAAACTGCTCCAAAACCGGCCCAATGTCGTTGGATTTAAGGTTTGGAATATTCTAAACACTTCTCCAGAAGGCTACGAACCCATGAGAGGTCATCTTGAGTTCTAAAAACGCAATTTAAGCCTAGAAACATTATTTTCCAGCACTGCGCACTGCTACTTTATTCCATCACCAGAAAATAACCGCTTTGTAGAAAAATCCTAAATTTTGACACGAACACGCCAAGAGACACACGAACGTCCTCCAATTTGAATTACTTCAACATTCATCCGTTTGATCATGTTTTGCTCCAAAGGAAGTCGAATATCCTATATTGAAAATATAAATCAAAGTATCAGAATTCTACCAAAATAATTACCAAAACATACTAAGAATAGGGTAAAATATATAATATGAAATTGACTCATCAACTTATCTTTACAATTACTATAAATAAGCAAATCTAAACGGCCATCAACTTTTATTCATCAGACAAGGTTGTCTGTGTCTGATTTTTGACGAGATTAATTTACTCCACTGTGTTTTGCTAGAGAGCAAGTGTTGGATTTTCATTCGATGTAAATCAATCATAAATTGTCCTACACTGTGTCTACACAGTGTGGCTTCCCACCAAATGAATGTTATTTTCATGGTAAATCTAAAATCCAACACTGTGTTTACTTTCTCTTTGTCTATCTATTTATACCTCTCCATACTTCAACCCTTCACTCCCCACAGCCACACCAAAAACCCTACTTTAGTTTCCCTGTGTACAGCTACCACAAACCAAGTCCACAATTCAAGAAAAACCGATTATGTCCCCTGCAGCTAACTCATCATCATCATCATCAAGATGGTGCCCTTCCCCAGAGCAACTGATGCTCCTTGAAGAGATGTACAGGGCTGGAATCAGAACCCCCAATGCCTCTCAAATCCAACACATCACTGCCCAGCTCTCTTCCTATGGCAAGATTGAGGGCAAAAATGTGTTTTACTGGTTCCAGAACCACAAGGCAAGGGACAGACAGAAGCTTAGGAAAAAGCTTTATGAGCAACTGCAGCAGCAGCAATTACTTTATCACCATCATAATTACCATAATTACCGTAACTGCCACTATGAGCAGCAGCTGAATCAGCAGACCTTTCTTGGTTACCTTGAGTCCCCTCCTCCTGTCCCTTCTGCTCTTCATCATAAGCAACTTTCTACTTGTCATCATCACAATAACTACTCATCGACTGGGTTTCTTCCTCCTCAGGTTATAATTATATAGATGTGTGCGTATATATTCATCTCTTGATTAAAAACTTATGCACAATGATGAGATATTTACCAGTAGTGGAAAGACAGAATATTCTTTCTTTCTTTCTTTTTTTCTTCATGTTTAAAATCATTACCTTATTATTGCTTTGGGTCAGTATTGTTTTAGCTTAATTACTGTTTAAAGTTAGAAGTACAAGGAATTTATTAAATTTACTAAATTATTAAATTTAAACTTGGTACTACCAGTCTACAATTCATCACCCTTTTAAAGATCTAACAGCAAAAAATTCTTATGTTAAAAATCCTTTTTTTTTTTTTTTTTTTGTCAGACTAAAACATCCTATATATCATACCGAAAAAAATCGGCCACTATATTTATCATATAAGACAAAAACATTAGAGGAGAAGTATGGAAAGGTAAAAACTGTTTTTCTAAAATGAACTTGTACTTGCCTTTTTTTAGGTCTTCATTAAATATACAACTATATAAGTACAGTGTCTGTTTGTATAGTGTTTGTGGTAATAGAGTAAACATAAAACTCTTAACTTTAATCCTTAAATAATTTTATTTTTAGATAAATGCCTGGTATAAGATTATAATTATATACTGATTATAGTCCTTAGATATAATCATATAAGTTAACATTTTCAAATTAATCAATTTATTTTATTTTATTATTATTATTACTATGTTACATGTAACCGGTTATCTTTCAGTCGCAAACATATAAACATAAAATATTTGCATCAAAATTAATGGACCTAAACTATCGTACCTCTTTTTGTTTAATACAAATGGACCTAAACTATCGTACCTCTTTTTGTTTAATATATGCAAAACTTTGTCATACAAATGAAACTAATGACTAAGGTCCTGAGCAAAATATTTGTACCTAAACTAATTGGACCTAAACTATCGTACGTAAATATTGTGCAAACAAAAATTTACCATACAAATGGAAATCCCCAGTCACTTGAACCTGGAATTGTATTTGTGCCATAAATATGGGGTTAATTGATTATAGAAATTTCTTTTGTATTTGAGAATTGACCTAGCATTACTGACAATAGGTAAGAAAAAATAGCAAGCTTGTAAATACATAATAGCAAAACCTATGGAATTCATTGCAGATGGTGACGTTTTTTAAAAGAAGGATTCAAGAATCTAAGAATCATCTTATTTAAACCCTAATATCTAAAATCCCCCTTAAATTTACAAAGTAAAGGAATAATTAACAATTTTTCTGTTCAAGGTAATACAATATTTTCATTAAAGAGCGAAACAAATTTGTATACATAACAATATGCATGGTGCACAAACTGTGACGTCAATAAAACCGTGTTGCTAGAACAGTCAACTTGGATTGAAAGAAAAAGAGTATCACGCACTAAGACATTGATCTTTATTGTCCTCTAACTAACAAGTGTACAATAAAATCAACACAAGTTTTTTACCAAGTAAAAAACACCAGAATACATAATTCTTGTCCTTAATTTCTCTCATTTTGCTACTAATTTTCCTTTTCTTGAAGCTATTTTAACTATATTTTTTTTTTCCTTATTGGCATAGGTGGGAGTTGAAGATGCCTTGATAAACTACACCTGGAAGATGGAGATCCCAGAGAAGGTGGAGAGGGAGAAGTCCGTGATGAGTATGTACGGTCATGAGTGGATGATGATGATGATGAATGTAAGCCCACCATCCCCATGTTGCACTAGTTCAAGCAGCAGTACTACCACTACTACTACTTCTACACCACCACTCAAGACCCTTCAACTCTTCCCTATTACTGCCACTGATCTCAAAGAAGAATCCACACCCTCCCGCAGTGCTCTGTCTTCCTCCACCCTCACAGAAAATCACTAAAAAGCCGTACTACTACTGCTGCATTTGCATCTGCATCTGCATTCATCTCTCTCTCTCTCTCTCTCTCTCTCTCAATCACTTGTTTGGTGTCTTAGTTTCTGCTATGTGTTTTCTGTGTTCTTCTTCTGCGATGTGAAAGATCTCAATTGTCCAATGAGTAGTACTACGGTTCTGGGTCCTATACTTATTTTAACCTCTCAATTTCAAACAAACGTCGATTATTTATTTGCACTATTACTAGCTAGTTGTACTATATATAGTGCAATATTGCATGCAGCAGAATTGTATTTTGTTTTCAAGTCTTAGCTTGTCTGTTGTGTGTACCTTAAAGCTGACATATTGCACACCCAGTACGTGAACTGATCACTACATGTTGTATCTAGTCATGTAGAAGTCAGCTTTTTATTAGTGTTTACTTGGTCTGGACCTTTCGAACAAGTCAATGCAACACATTCTGTCTATTATATGTTTAAATTTTGCAAGGATTTTTTTCATTTTCTAAACTTTTTTTGTGCTTTCTTTTAATATTGGGAGAGGCAACTTGTTTAAGATGAAATAATAATTCTTTGGTTATGGCACCAAACTACGGATTATCTAAAGACTTTTAACCAATTTTTTACTTGAAGGAATTTTAACCATCGCCTCAAACATATTCTAGGGGTGTTTTAGCACTGGTCGAGGGGTGAACTCGAATAACTATACTGTTTGAGGGGGTCTCGAGTGACTATATTTTTAAATCTTGAAAAGTAAATGGCTAAAAATCCAATAATCTAAAAATATGGCTAAGTTTTCCAATGTCCCTCATAATGATCCCATCAAATTATAATGTGTGTGTTTTTTGCCTTATTTTAAAACTCTCATAAGTCAAACAAATTTTCACATTTGCTTGGTTAATTCAATCCCATCACTTGTTATTTGGAGAAACTCAAAAGAAAATGACTTATTTTCACATTTTCGCTTATATATAGTGATCCCATCAAATTAGATCCCATTTTTGGAACTTCTTCTCATAGGCACCTTTTTTAAGAGGAAAAATGTTGAATTTTTAATTAAAATCCAAGTGCTTTGCAAAAAAGTATTTAAAAGCATCTAGCTAGTGCTTCTTCATTAAGTTTAGAACTTTTTTTATTTTGTTAGAGGCTCTCAGATACATTTTTAATTGGCAGATTACACAGTAATCATCTTTTAAAACAGTCTCAAACAACTTATGCTACTATATAATTATATCTTGGGCTGCCTTTTATACACTACAGCCAAGTTTACCTATTCTTATAGGAAATGAAGTTAACAAAATACATATTACGTATATTTGCTCTAAATTAACTAATACACATGTTTGTGGACAACCAAAAAATAAACATTTATTTGCAACAATTATATAGTATATATGTAATTGGGTATTTATGACATACAGATTTATCTTGAACAATAATGGTTTATTTAGCTGCACTGTCAAGATTTTAGATGGGTCATTAGCTCATTACTATAACCACACCGATATTGTTTTCTAACTTACATTTTACTACTTGCACAACGTACACCGATGTGGATCCAAAATCAATATAAGTCATATTTAATTTTGTTGATTTCTGATATGAAATTTTTGTAATCTTCAACAAAGTGATCACGATCATATACATGAAGTTGAATCAATGAAATCGCCATAAAACTTTGCCAAACATAAGCTAAGGTCAAATTACCTCCATTTGTAAAATAAGAATCCTAATGATGGTAAGTGATCTTAGACATATATATTCGATATCACATGAGGCATTGTCACTGGAGTAATGTGAATCCCACACAGTCCTTGGCTGTTAGGTTACAATAATGTCCAATATTGGTGTCTAGACAAGAAAACGACATTCTATAATGCAGTTCAAACGAAGGCCCCTTTGCTGGAATGGACAAAACGACTCTACCAAATGATATGTCTGATGCCCTGAACGACAAAACAGACGATGCAAAAAGACATTTATGATTTATCTGATGCATGGAATGGCTCCAAACGATCTACTTGTTGCTTGATGACATGTTCTTTTCATCACAAAAACAAATAAAAATTGGAAAACAGTTAAAGCCATTTGTTATTATGTTAGATTCTATTTAAGTTTTGTTAAGTTGCTTGAAGGTCGATTCGAACTGTTAAGTAGAGAAAGATCAATCATGCACTACTACAGAAGGGGCTATCACTGCTAGTGTAAAAACCAACAAGAAACCCCAATTATTGTCAGATTTTTAGTAAAAATCCGACATCAAATCGTGCAATGTCAGATAGGAGAACCAACACCGTTTCTAGCATCACGAAAAGGGTATTGAAGTCGGTTAGTCCCCTTAATCTGCCACCAAGAAGCAAAGTAATATATAAAAAAAAAAAAAAACAATGTTGGTTAAAAGTGATATCTAACCTTACGTCGGTTAGAAGTGACGTTAAATTTTGACATGATGGCGGTCCTAACTGACTGTTGGGTTCCCAGGCTATACGGTGGTGGCTGCTGAATTTTTTGCAGTAACAATGTCAACAACTGCTTCTGTTCACTAATACAAAAAACACTTTGCATGACGCATGTCCTTCGTTGCATGCCAACCATCATGCCAAGGCAGTGAAAGCAGGGCTTGAGTGACGAAGAAGTAACATGCACCGCGAAAATACTTAGGGACATACGTCATGTTACTTCTTCGTCACGCAAACCCTTGTTTTTTGTTTTTTTTTTTTTTGGAAAAAATATTTTTTATTTATTTTTTAATAAATATTGTAATTAAATTCTAAACAATAATTAATGAACGAAGAAAAAGTATTTAATTATAAAATATATGAAAATGTACATACAAGATGTCTGAACAAAAAAATAAAAAACTACAAGTAGTCTTCTAAGTTTGATACATCAGGCTACTGGGTATCGGCTGGACGAAGTGGCTGGGAGGTCAAAGGTGGAGCAAGATCAGGTGCTGCCATCGGGATTTGGAGGCCGGACATCTGTAAGGCCGGTACAATAATACTCATCTACTCGCCCTGGGCCACAAACTGACCTTTTAGGGTTGTCACTTCCTTCTTCAGGGCATTGACCTCTCTTATGGTTGATCTGGAAAAGGAGGCACCCATTCACAATCCAGCAAATTTTCATAATCATAAAAATAATAGTTTTAAAATGAAAAAAAAAAAAAATACAACGTAGTGAGAATTAGAAAAAACTACCTGGCTGGAAGGCCCTATCCTTGACTCTGGATGCCGAGGAAGTGTGATCAAAAGGCTCCGGCTCGCGACGGCACCAGTGAGCCCGCCGTGCACTGAGCGGCTGAACCAACATTGATGACGTCGATGATATAGGCATCTGGGAAGCTGTAGAAGTAGCCTCAGTAAGGGATGTAGGCTCCCCAATCAATGGAGCACTCACGCCTAGACCAGTAGATGCTGATAATGCGAGATGAGCATTCGTCACACTCCGACGACGAGTGATCAACTACGACATCTATACATTTTTTGAACCATAAAAATATAACATTAGAAACTAATCCTTTCTTGCATTTGAAACTAATCAATTAGCAGCCAAAGTAATATCATATCCTTTCTTGCATTTGTTCATATATATATATAAAGCAGTAGTGCAACAGTAGAAACAATACTAATTAAAGATATCAACTATACTTTTAACCAATGGGATCATATGTTCTGTTTATGTGTATCTTGATTATTTTGGTCGCAATTGTGATGCCTTCTCTATGTGCAATTGAGCTCTATTTTATATTTTATTATTAAAATAAGTGCAGCAAACAAAGTGGCCATACAACACGCAAGTTAACATGATGAAAATCAATTTAATTTGTCGTATTTTTATTTGTCGTCTTTCATTGCAGATATCATGATAGCATGTGTAAGAAGCTTGAAGACCTCAAACAACTTTGATTATAATATGAAATTATTCCAAGAACATGCTAATACTAGAGTTTACCACACTATATGCTTAGACTGTGGCTAGATAGCCTAGTTCTCTGACCAAAATTAGTTCACTCTGAGACCCTGCAAGTATGGACTCCAATTAAATGGAGCTTGACTAGACACATTGTCCAAAGAGAAGAACCAAAACCAGAAGGTTTTCTGGATGAAAGGTTAACCAATATAATTAGTCGACTTCTTCATTAGCCAGCGGTTGGTTGAAGACCTTTACAATTTAAATATCCCATGCGACTACCTCACCGAGAATCCATGACAACAATCCAGGCATCCAATGCAACAAGAACCCAAGTGCATAACATAATTAGCAGTTAACCACCATTGAAAAGAAAAGTGAATTCGTCATTAAGCTATGGATGTAGGTGCATTACATCGTAATGCAATAATTAATTGTTATTTACAATCTTAAAGCAAGCAACATTCAATGTTTTCTGGGCAGAAAAGAAGAGAGAAAAAAATCCATATGCCACAAGGGGATTATACTACCCTACTTTTGTGGAGATTATACTACCCTACTCTGTTTATGATTCTTTGTTTCTATCTTTTTCTTTCTTTCTTATAACAGGTAAGAATACAGCGGGGAATTGCATGGCCCGAGGAAATTGATCAAGCTTTTTTTACTAACGTGATAATGATTCTTTGTTTCAAAAATATTAACCTCTTGAATATATTGTTGAACTAAAGCATCAGATTCTTTTGGGGTCTAAGTAGTCTCTATGAATCCTATGTTTTCATCTTTAGATTGTGAAAGAAAATGGGATACAACTTAGGTGACCATTGATGATAAATGTATTTTGAAAAGCAGCAATTTTTGGTTTCTTATTTCTTGACATGGAAGTGGTATTCATATCAAGATCCTTAACCGTAATGTTTAGCTTCGTAGTTGTGCATCCTTTAGTTGATCACCTCTTTTGCTCATCTTCTTGCAGAAATATTATCTTAATTACCGGATCATTGCAATAAACAGCATATGAAATTACCAATGATTTCGAAATGCAATGAAAACTTACCAGATGGCTTAGACCAACACTGTTTTAGCTCCTTGAAAGTTTCTAAGGTATCTCTTCCTCCTCCTCCTCCAGGAAATTTCTCCTGTATAAATCAAAAGATAAGAAAATCACACAATATCCCTGAAACCGATGCTCAAATCTATCTGCTGAAATTAGACAATGTAAACTTCATTAAAAAAAAAAAAAACTACATGAGACTTGAACTCTATGCAACTCTTCTAGAGCAAAAACGCCGAAAAGTGAAGTGTGCCAAATGACTGAGGGGGAAACATACACATCTTTTGGATAACAAATCAAATTCTTCAAGCAATAGAAATGTTTTGAATATTTTAAATCACATAAAAATGTCACTGCCTAGAAAATTTTCCTCAACTATTACAAAACTTTAAGTTTTGCCTCTCAATTTCGACCAAATGAAGGTTCATACTTGGAACTTAAAGTTCTTTTGTGTGTTATAACTAAATGAGTTTTGATAAATTATATGGTGAGATCTATGGCTGGT